TCGAAAGAGGAGGCAAAGTGTTCCAGACACCCAGGCTAAAACAATGGTATAGGAAAAAAAAAATAATGAAGAAAATAGCTACTCCTTTATATTTTCTAATTGCAGAGTTTGGGGTGGGGCAGCCAGCAAAGACAAAAGAGAACGTGGCTGTTGTGGGGGGAGAGACTGGGGAATCCTTGTCATCATCTTTTTCAGTTGGAGTCCTTCATCGAAGGCAGGAGGGCAGGAGCCCCCAGCCCTGGAGCAGGAGGTGCTGGGGGGACACTGAGCTGGGGGGGGAGCAGAGCTGAGGGCTCAGCTCCTGCCCCGTCTGGCTGTGCTGCCGTGGAGCAGCTTTGTTTACAGTGTAGCTGTGGTTGAATTACACCACATACAGTAATTCTCATCGCATTGCCAGTAATTTCACTGACTTACCAAGCAGGCATCATTTCCTGAAAGTCAGCCCTTGTGCTTAGAGGAAGTAGGAGCACTCTCCTTCATGACTAAACACTATATGCAAATTTCCACGGGCTCAGGACAGCTGCACTCTATGGCTGTCCTTTTTTCCTCCATTTTCACTCCTTTCTTCTGCATGTTCATTTTTTACAACCCTCGCTGAGCTCTCTCCCTGGCTGGTGCTGCTCTTGCTGTCATGAATGAGGACCTTTCTCCATTATACACTGAAAAATCTCACCTTTCTGCTCCATCTGCCTCCTGCTCTGCCGACAGCAAACTGAATGCTGCTTTAAAATGTCCCAAATGCAGTTCTGGCTAAAGTTCCCATCTCTCTACAAGGTAATGCCTAATTTTCCTTTTTTTCCCTCTTTTGTTTTTTTTCTCCTCAAATTCCCAGGTGGGTTTGTTTGGAGCTCCAGCTGCTCCCCAGGCTTGTGTCCCCCCCGTGTTTCTGGCGACGGCAGCGGTTTGGGGGCGAGGGAGCAGGGCTGTGATTTGTGTTGTGCTCTGTGGTGCTTGAGACTCTTTCTCTGGGTTAGAACTTGGTCTCTAACTGTGAAGCTTGAAGGAAGAGGAGCTGTGTGGAGAAGTGATCGGGGTGTTTGTGCAGTTGTAATGGCTTTCAGGAGCTTTATTTTTAAACCAGATGCGGTGTACAGAAAAGCAAGGGAGCTGCTTGCCAGCCAGAGCTGTGAACCCTTCAGACTGCAAGTTTATTGCCCCCCATTTAGAAAGACTTTGGGTTTTGGCAGCTAAAAGATTTTCTTTAAGTGATCAACTGCTTATATTTCAGCTGTTAATTCCTGATTCTGTCTTTCTTGAAATATAATTTGCTTAATCTGTGATTTTTGAGGCACCAACTCCTGCCTGTCTGGCTGTGTGACTGTTCCTGTGTGTATTTCTGTGTGTATAAATGTTTTTTGGTTTTTAGACTCCCTAAAAAGCTCCGTGCAGTGCAGTGCAGTAATCCCTTTATGCTCTGCAGAAAGACTATTTGTTTCCTCTGTGTCTGGATTGTGAGCAAATAAGCCATTTATATTGATGGCTTCATGGCCAAAAATATTTATAGGATGCATGATCCCTCTGTATTTAGACTTCACCTGTTCTTTCATTATTTTTGACAAAGAACTTGTTTTGACTAAGGAACGGGGCTGTTTCCAGTGGCTGGGAGAAGCAGATTAAGTGTTTGGGTTGCTTTACCCTGATTTTTTTCCTGAGGAGCTGATTCTTGGTGTTTATAACTTCTCTGTTTTGGGACAATGACAGCAATACTGTGTCCCATGGTGGCACCAACTGGCGATTCATTTGCACTCACAGTTCAGAAGTGCAGCAGGTGATTATCATTGATTTATCAAGTCACTCTCTAGAGCATCTTCTGAGCTGAAGACAAGACAATGGTTTGTGATGTCTCTCTCCTGTTCTGGTGTGTGGATGATATTTCAACATCAGTGTAAGAAAAGAACGTGCTGTGAGGTCCTGGCCAGCAGCTCTGCCTGGCCTCTGGGTGGACACAATTCTGCATCAGTCAGGCTGGTCTGAGAGGATGAATGGCCCCTTGGCCATTTTGTAGAGGGCTTCTGCAAACTTCATCTCTGACCCCAGCAGGTAGTTCTGAACCCTGGTTTCATAGCAGACTTCAAGGTGTTTCTGTCAGTCCAGGGCTGAGGTCTTCCTGCTCATGCTTCACGCAGGTGTTCACTGCCTGGTGCAGAGGAGTGTTGAGCAGAGCAGAAAAGAGTCAGGTTTGCCAGTCCCCCCAGGGGAAGCTTTTCTACCAGTGGTGATCTGCAACATGCTGTCTGGATTTTGTTTGCAGGCTGTCCTAAATTGGAGGGAGAAAAAAGAAAAAATATGTGAAAAATCCACCAACACCCCCCCCAGATATTCCTATTCCAGAAATAAGATTTGCTTAGAGAACAGTTGCAGAATAACATTTGAAATAAAGATCCTGCCTTGTGGGATAACTTCCTTCTGTTGCAGAAATGCAGTTTCTACTGAGGCATAAAATAGGTGCCATTGCTGTAAAAGCCTCTTACTTGCAATGAGAAAACTTTAACATTCTTATGGATCATTCTTAACCAGGGACAAAATAATTTGCTTCAAATCCTGATGCCCAAGTGGGGTGACCCCTCTGGAGTGACTTCCTTTAGCAGCTCCTCAAGCTCATCAGACCACTGAAGGAGCAGGAGCACTTTCCTGGGAGCTGCTCTCCAGTCCCTCTGCTCAGCTCACTGCCCCTCTCCAGGCTGCCTGTCCCTGCAGCCACCTCCCTCTTCAAGGGTTCTTGGTCTGTCTCTTCTGCCCCCAATGTCATCATCTCCTTTTCAGCTTCTCCTGTCTGTGTGCTGGGGGCCCAGCACCTTTTGGCCTCGGGTCTCCTGTGGCTGGGGTCAGGCTGTAGGTGTTCACCAGCCCCGCTGCCCTGTGTGTGCCTGGGCTTGTACCCTGAGCTCTTCAGGGTGGGGATTCCTTTTAGTGCTCTTTAGATAATGTAATTAGCTAAGACAAATAGGAGCTCCTAAAGTTTGTGGCTAATGCCTGTAAGAGGATGGGCTCCCTAAGGTCATTTTCAAGACTGACATTATCCTCCCTCTGACTTGGAAGCTGGTTTCCTCTTCCCTGTGTCAGCCTGGTGCCCTGGGTGGAGGGAAGTGGTGGAGGTGGGTCTGGAGGGGTGTTGGTAGCAAAGGAGTGCAGACTGTGGTGACAGTCCAGAGGCTGTTGAACTCCTGTGCCTGTTCTTGGGATCTTGAGGCCAGAGGAGGAAGCAGAAACGTGGTGATGGGGCAAGGGGAGATGATGGCTGGTTCGAGGTGGTTCAAGGTTATCAGCAAGTGTCTCTGCAGAGGGTGTGGAAGGTTGGAGAGGCTACAGACCTTGGGAGGTGGGAGTTAATGGAAAAGAATCTCAGTAGCATGAGCAATGTTGGGTTGAATCCCAGCACAGTGCTCAGGACCTGGAGCTGTGGGAGGGACAGGCAGGTTCCTACAGGACACACAGGGCACTTATTCTGGCCAAGAAATGTTGTCTTTAACCATGTGTTCTGCTTTCTCTAGTGTGAAACACAGCCATGTTTCCAGGCATCAGTTAATTCTGAGAGGATAAATCTAGTGCCCACTTCAGTCTCTTGGTTTCTGGGTAATCCCAAAATAGCCACTGAGTTATCAAGAGTAAGAGCAGCACAGGAAGCGCTGCCCGGCTGGCAGCCCCGTCACCCGCAGCAGCACAGCCCCTTCTCCTTGGGCCTTTGGGTCCCCCAGTTGGCTTTTGACAAACACAAACCTTGCAGGTGCTGCCCTGTCCCTGTGAGTGCCTGACGCAGCACCGGGCACTGTCCCAGTGCCAAACCAGACCAGTCTGGGAAGCAAGTGCAAGGAACGTGTCCTGATGGCTTCAAAGACTGTAAGAGCAGGACTGCTAGCAGTCAGGGGGACTCTGGCCCAGCTCTTGGCCTGAAGCCCTTAGGAAAGCTCAAGCAGCTCCACTGTTCATGCTTTTATGTCAGCCAGGGCTAAGTGACTTGTCAAAAGCCCTTGGCTGCCTTTCTGCCTTGTAGTGGGAAATTGGCCCTTAACTGGAAATGAGCAGTGACTTCTCCTCGTGTCAGACAATGCAGCTCTTCTGGCCTTGCTGTGCTCCTCTGGTTCCCTGGCCTGGTGGGGTCTGGGGCTGCCCCTGCTGAGGAGCCACAGAACTGGCTGGTGTTGGCAGAGTCCTCTGGGGCACCAGGGGAGACCTGCTGCTCTGCCTGCCTGTCCCCCTGGGACAGAGGCACAGCTCCTGTGTTTCAAGTACCTTGCGCTTCAGTAAACAGCAGCCAAGGTTGTTCTGCTTTTAAAAAGTTGGAAAGTGGCATTTGATGTGGCAGGAGAGCTGAGGTGTTGTGATGGAGCCAGGGAAGGTGCCATGATCTGTGCCAGAGGACTCAGAGCAAGAAGTGCTTTCTGGCTGTCAGTCCCTGCCACCAGACAAGGAAGTGGTGATAACGAGGGGATTGAAGGCTCTTTCTGAGCTACAGTCCATGTGACTCAACCCAACATCAGCACCAGGTTGGAACAAAATAAAAGCATTGTCATCCATCTGAGCACAAGCACCGGAAAAAGAGCAAGGGCAGAGCCCAGTCCCGTCACTGGAGCACATTCCCCTCGTGTCCGGGCTGAGGAATGTCCTTGGGAATGCCCTTGGGAAAGGGTTGGTAGCTTTCCTACGATTTATCTAGACGCAAATCCAGATGACACTGGTGCTCCTTCCCCCTGCTCCTGGCAGCCTCCTTTGTGCAGAACCTCCCATGCGGAGACTCATTTTTTCCAAAGCCTCCGGGTATTGCTGTGCTGTTAATCACAATCAAACACCAGTGTCACTGGTGGGTGTAGCTGGTGCTCGTGGGCTTCTGTGCACACATGGAACACGGGAGACCTCGGTGTTGGGTGAGCACTTCCCACCCCTCGGCAGCTTCTGTGATCAGATATAAAGTTGAGGTGGCTGCTGGATGAGTAGGTGTGAGAAAGGATCTCCCTGGTGTTCTCATCCTGCCCCCTCTAACTGTGGTGGTTTCTCCATGTCAGGACTCTTCATACCTCGATGAGCTCTCCAACAACAACTCCCTCTTCTCGTCCCCTCCCGATTCCCTCTCGGACATTGCGGATCCCAAGGACTTCCTGCCTGCCGACAGCCTGAGCCACGTGCCAACACTATGGGATGTAAACACCCCGCAGCAGAACCCGATAGAGGTATGGGCTGCTCCTCTGACATCCTCCCCATCACTCAGTAAATACCTCAGGCTTCAACCTGAGTGTTTTCACCAAGGAATGAAGGGTCCAGCGCGGTTCCCTCCGGGGGGAGGCTGCAGGGTGAGGGTGCTTGGCTGTCGCCAGCTTCACTGAGGAGGGAAGGGATGAAGTGATCACACACACTTTAGTCTCCTGGAAGCAGGAAGGAACCCAGACAAGGACAGGGTCTCTGTGGCAAATATTTTGGTAACAATGACTGAAAAACAAACTGTCTCAGGTTGCCCCTAACCATTTGTGTTTACTTTGTGAATCCAAGTCCCTGCAAGCTTTGACATCCCTGAGCTGTCCTGGGCGTGTGATCCCAGCAGTCCCGTGGCAACATGTGGTTCTGTGCATTTTTACCAGCCTGTTGCCATCTGTTTTCCCTCATCTCTTGGGACTGATTGCTCACACTTGCACAACCTGGTGTCAGTCACTTCGGGATGGCCACCGGCTGGGGTGGTGCTGGGAATGTTATCAGGCACGTTTGCTGAATCCCTGGATCTCTGCCCTGGCAGGGGATGCCTGGCTGTGCAGGAGGTTTCCTTTGCAGGTCTTTGTCTTATGAAGATTGTATCTGTTTTCCCTCATCTCTTGGGACTGATTGCTCACACTTGCACAACCTGGTGTCAGTCACTTCGGGATGGCCACCGGCTGGGGTGGTGCTGGGAATGTTATCAGGCACGTTTGCTGAATCCCTGGATCTCTGCCCTGGCAGGGGATGCCTGGCTGTGCAGGAGGTTTCCTTTGCAGGTCTTTGTCTTATGAAGATTGTGGGGAGGAAACACTGAATGTG